AAAAGTCACCACCACCACCACCACCACCACCATTAAAATAAAGCGGGGAACGCGTCGAGGCGCCTGGAGGCCGTCGTCGGGCCTCTCCGGAGGAGCGTCGTCCGCCGCCCGGGGCTCCGGCGTCTCACACCAGACTTCCCAAGTCGGATGCATCCTCCGCGAAGGTATTCCATGTTGACAGATGTCTCGCCTCCCACAAAATGGGGCCCGAGGAGGCGGCCGCTGTCTCCTCTATGGGCGCCGCCATTTTGTGAGGCGGCCGCGGCGGCGGCGGCGCGGCGGCCATGGACCCCGCGGCGTCCGGCCCGGCCAAGGCCAAGAAGACGAACGCGGGCATCCGGCGGCCCGAGAAGCCGCCGTACTCGTACATCGCGCTCATCGTCATGGCCATCCAGAGCTCGCCCAGCAAGCGCCTGACGCTCAGCGAGATCTACCAGTTCCTGCAGAGCCGCTTCCCCTTCTTCCGCGGCGCCTACCAGGGCTGGAAGAACTCGGTGCGCCACAACCTCTCGCTCAACGAGTGCTTCATCAAGCTGCCCAAGGGGCTCGGGCGCCCGGGCAAGGGCCACTACTGGACCATCGACCCGGCCAGCGAGTTCATGTTCGAGGAAGGCTCGTTCCGCCGGCGCCCGCGCGGCTTCCGGAGAAAGTGCCAGGCGCTCAAGCCCATGTACAGCATGGTGAACGGGCTGGCCTTCAACCACCTCCCGGACACCTACGGCTTCCAGGGCGCGCCCGGCGGCCTCTCCTGCCCGCCCAACAGCCTGGCGCTGGACGGCGGCCTGGGCATGATGAACGGCCACTTGCCCGGCAACGTGGACGGCATGGCCCTGCCCGGCCACTCCGTGCCCCACCTGCCCTCCAACGGTGGCCACTCCTACATGGGCGGCTGCGGGGCCTCGGCCGCGGCCGGCGACTACCCGCACCACGACGCGTCGATGCCCGCCTCGCCCCTGCTGCCCGCACCCGCCGGCGGGGTCATGGAGCCCCACGCTGTCTACTCGGGCCCCGCCGCGGCCTGGCCGCCCGCCGCCTCCGCCGCCCTCAACAGCGGCTCCTCCTACATCAAGCAGCAGCCCCTGTCCCCCTGCAACCCCCCGGCCAACCCCCTGCCTGGCGGCCTCTCCACGCACCCCCTGGACCAGTCCTGCCTGCACCAGAGCAGCCACAACGCCCCAGCCGACCTCCAAGGTGAGAGGGGAGGCCGGGCCTCGGGGCGGAGGCCGGCTCTGTGACCGCCCGCAGATGACCGGTGACCACTGAGCCCAGCTCCACTTCTGGGGCTCAGGCTCCGTGGGAGGGCTGGCTAGACACCCGCTACCAGGGGCCCCTGGGTCCCGCTTCCATCCCTCTGGGGGATGAGGGCATTTGAGACGCCCCAATGTTCCCCTCCATTCCAGCCCTGCTCTGTGGGGCGCCCTCAGCCTGACCAGGTAGGCCCCGTTCTCATCGAAGCATCTCTGGGGTCCCCAAAGTGTCCTCACTCCTCAGAAGGGTCTCTATGTAGAGTCAGGGGACCCCAGCCCAGGACAGCAGGCTCAGGGTCCCCCAGCTCAGCCAACTGGAGGAGTTAGGCCTGCGCTAGCGAGCGGCCAGCCGGGCCTCGCGGGTCCAGCCTGGCCGCGGTGGCCAGCGCTGGGTGGTGCAGAGGCAGGCTGCGGCCGTCCAGACCCACTCGGGGTCCCGGTGCAGACCCCGGGGACACTTTGTTTTTCAAGACCCAGGTTTCCCGGTCTGCAGACACCCCAGCCCCTGGGAAGGAAGAGAGATGGCCTGCCCTGGCCGCCATGGCCTTCTGGGCCTCGTTGGGGAAGGACGGGGCCGGTGGCGGGTGGGGTGCTGTCCGGGCCGGCAGGGTGGGAGACTGAGGAGCCGGGGCCGCCGCCGCGGGGCCAAGCGCAGTAGCTGCCGCCCGACGGTGGGAAGGGCAGGACGGGGCTCATGGAGTGGGGTGGTCGGGCACCCTGGGGGCCAGCGCCAGCGCGCGGCGGCCGGCTCAGCCCGCGTCCCTCCCCGCAGGCATCCCCCGCTACCATTCGCAGTCGCCCAGCATGTGTGACCGCAAGGAGTTCGTGTTCTCCTTCAACGCCATGGCGTCGTCCTCCGTGCACGCCGCCGCCGGCGGGGGCTCCTTCTACCACCAGCAGGTCACCTACCAGGACATCAAGCCCTGCGTGATGTAGGCGCGGCCGGCGCCCGGACGCCGCCAGGACACTCTGCGTCCTCGAGGTATAACGCGGGACGGACCGGCCTGCCGGCGGCAGACCCCCGCCCCGCGCCGGGAAGGAGCCCTGCCGCGCCGCCCTCCTCCCCGCTGGCTGACAAATCCCAAAATGCTGACGCTGGGGCCTGCTCCTCCTTTCGATCCGGTGGGATCCGGCGGGACCCGGCGGTGGCGGCGGCAGCGGGCAGTTGCTGCGCTGTGCCCGGGGAAGAAAGCCTTCCACGGGGACCGGAGCCCGCCCGGCCCCTGCCCGGCGCCCGCCCTGGCCCCGCGGCTATGGTGAGGGCAGATCGGCGGAAGAAATGGAAACGAGCGATCAAATGCTTATCCTTACCAAATACTTTCATTCTTTGGTTGAGTATTTATCTTTGTACCTTTCTTTGGGGGTGGGGGGTGTCTCCTGTCTCCCTTTAGAGCCGTCCTGTGCTGGGCGCGGGAGGAGGGCGCAAAGCCCACCCCTCCCCACCCCACAAGTGTCCACCGGTTGCCGCAAGTGGATGGGGCACCCATTACTTGCTTTTTGGAAGCCACCGTTCGTCTTGAAAAGGAAAATAGGAGTCCAGAAATGAGCGGCTGGCCGGCCCGAACCCCCCGGCCGCCCGCCCGCCCTCCTTTCTCCTTCCTTCTCTTCAGGGTGTTTTGTTTCGAATTTCATTTTGACGTTTTCCGGGTGTTTTTCTCTCTCCCTGTCTCTCCTGTTCGCTTTCTGGTTGGAGAAGGAGGCAGCGCGCGGGGAAGGGCGGGAGGCCGCGGCGGCGGGCAGCGTGGCGTAGGATGGTTAAGGCACTTTTTAAACTCTAGCGAGGCTCATGGTGTTATTTATTCTCCTTTTCCTCCCTAACACAGACGCTCCGTTATCAGTATTAATGGTGTAACATTGTTGGCAATATTTGCCGTGTAGTTTTTTTTTAGATATTCATTGTAAATTTGAAACAAAGACCGATCCATGTAAAAACAAATTTCCATATGTTTTATATAAATATATATTATATGAAGGACTATCCCCTCCTTTTTTTTTTTTTACTATTTTTGCTGCAGGAGTGCGGCGTTGTGACACATTTTTAATTCCCTTGTGCACTGTATAAAACGACAATTTGAGGATGTTTTGCCTTTTGTGTATTTTTTCCTAAAAAAAGAACAAAAATAAAAATGTATAACATTTGTACATGGCCTTTAAAACTGTATCAAGTAGAAATAAAATCAAAGGACTATCGTATTAGGGGTGAAGTTACAGGATTTCTGCAGACTCACAGATGCAGAGGGTTCTTAAAATTTTAAATCTGAGCAACTCTCATTTTCTTCCCTCTCTTCTTTTTCCCCCCTTCCTTCTTTCCTTCCTTCTTTTTACTCTTTTCCCATTCCACGTTGAAGTAAAATCTGGACGAGTATTTTTTTTGGGGGGGGGAGCTTCTGCTTATTAAGAAAAGCCCTCTGCCCCTCTAAATGTCATTTGTCCTTTAAAGGAATTATCCGACATTTAAAGAAAACTTGCAGTCCCTTCCTCCCGGCCTGGGGAAGCCAGACCCTGTGTATCCACGCGCAGATGGGTGTGTGTCTGTTGCGCACCAATGCCTATGCGATTCATACATCAAGTGTTGCCACTAGAGAGCTTGACTCAGCCTCGGGCTTTCTCGGACCTGTATGTTCTAGCTGTTACAAACAATGAAACGCCTTTATAAATTTCTTTTAATTTTTGGTGCCCCATACTTGGTTTTTTTTTCTCTAGCTGAAAATCCAAATCGGGTTCATTCCTGACCTGATCACAGTGTCCCGCTAAATTACCTATTTCCCCTTCTGGGGAGAGAAAAGTTCATGTGGCGCTGCTCCCGTGGATGGCGCCCAGGCCACAGGGGAGGCCCGTGGGGCGGCTGCCTGGCCCCTCACCCAACGGGCCCGGCCGAGCACCGAGCACCGAGGTGAACTCTCCCAGGCGGGCCGTGAACGTCCAGAGGAGCTGCGGTCTATAGAACTGAGAAACGGGACGGAAGGGCTGCGGGCCATCCCCAAGATCACTGGCCCTGGGTGGGGCAGTGGAGGCTGCAGGGCGCCGGGCTCTGTGGGTGCGGGCGCTGGCTGACTCCGCCCGGCCCGGGAGCGTCGATCTGCCCCGCCCGCCGCGGCCCCGCTGCTCTCCAGCTCTGGAAAAGGAGCCCAGCTCCCGGCACAGGAGCATTGCACCCGCGCTGGTATGGCTCGGCGCGCTGCATCCCCTTGTAGTCAGAGACCGCACCCCGATTCCAGGCGGAGGCCCTGGGGAAAGAGAAGCCGGAGGCGGCGGAGCCTGTGCCCCCCCCCCGGAACTCCTGCCCGGGTCTCCAGCCCCGCACCGCACAGCGCCGCCGGCCTCCTCTGCCTGCAGACCGGGGCCCAGGCTCACCACGGGGCAGGCTGCGGGCTCCTCTGGCCATGGCTCATCACGGGTGGAGGTGGGGAAGGTGGAGGACCTGTGAGGCCTCACCCGAAGGCCCGGCCTCCTCTCCAGGCCTCACCAAGCACCTGTGGGTGCGGGAAGTGCAGCTGGGACTGGAGGGGGCGGCCCCAGCCAAGCCCAGAAAGGCCAGATTCCCGAAGCCACCAGGTAATGTCGGGTAGTGCTGGGTAGTATCAGGAAGCGCTGGGTAGTGTCGGGTAGTGCTGGGTTGCGCTGGGTAGTGCCGGGTAGTGCCGGGTGTGTGTCCCCCATTTACTGTGTTCAGCCTGCGCTTTCCCTGGGTCGTGGCGCAGCCACAGACATGAGCTTCCAGCCTGGCGTGGGATCTAGGGCCCGCGGAGCGTGCCCTGGCGAGGAATCTCCACGCCGCTGCCTGCCATGGGGGACGGTCCTGGGAGCAGCGACTTTCTGGGACCCCAGGGAGAGGTTTCGGGACTCCAGCTCTGGACCTGGGAGCTGCTCCATGCCGCCCGCGCCCTCCCCCGGCCCAGCCCGGCCCAGCCACGGCCGGCGGGCACCGACTTGGGCTGCCAGTCTCATTTGGGCAGAACTTCGGGCCACGCGGGACTGCAAGCGGCTCGGCAGCTGGGTCAGGCGGCCGCAGCGGCGGCTGGAGAACGCCCTGGCTGTGAGGCACCTTGCTGGCCACAGGGCCTTGGTCCCACTGTGTGCTCGCTGAGGTGGGAGGCAGGGCCCGAGAGGGAGAGGAGGCCCCGCTTTCGGGCCACCTGTCACCAGGCAATTTGTTTCTGTCACAGACCAGGATGTCTTGAGTGGATGTAGAGAGGGGCCCCGGGGAGCCCGGACATGTCCTGAGTGTGTCAGGCCGCGAGGGGAGCTCCCAAATCACCCTCACCAGGGTGGCGGCCGGCTTGGGCCTCCCCGGGGCACCAGCCCAGGCGCTGCTGGACCCCCATGCGCCGGCCGCACCTGGTCTCCCCTCCCTCCTCGGAGAGTCGCTCACCACTGTGTGTGGCATGGTGGCTGAGGGAGGCTGAGGCAGGAGGGTCAGGGGCAGAGGCCAGGGGCAGCCTGGGCTGTGTCGCAAGACTCTGCAGATCTCCACACAAACACAGCAAAAAGGGGCAGAACTTGAACGGTGGGTCTGCCCTGGGGGTCTGCATAGACCCACCAGTGAGTGGAATCACCTCACCCTGCCCACCCGGGGAGGCCAGCAGGGCCCAGCCCCCAGCCCCAGGGGGGGAATGCTATCCAAGCCCAGCGTTCTTCCTAGGGCGGTCCCCGGGATCTATCCACGGAACGTCGGGTGGTGTCGCCGGAGCACCTTCAGTCTTCATAGCTTATCCATGGCCCAGGTGAGCCTAAGCTGGGACTCTGCCCGGGCTGAGCACCGGCCCGGCAGCTCGGCCTGGCCTCTGCTGCCCCCTGCTGCCTGCTGGTGGTATTGGCTCCTGTGGCCGTAAAAGCAAAAGCCTGGCGGGCATTGGTTCAGGAGACCCAGCCAGCCCAGCACACCTTCTTAGACTTGCCTCGCTGATCCGCTTGCAGAGACAAAGCATGACCTGCCGTGGCATGGAACAGGTGTGCACCTGTGCCAGTTCTGGGGCTTGAACTCAGAACCTCCAGGTCTTGCCCTCTTTCACTCAAGGCTGGTTCTCTACCACTTAAGTCACAGTTCCAGCTTTTTGTTGGCTAACCAGTGATGGACGTGTCTGCCCTGGCTGGCTTTGAACCTCGATCCTCAGATCTCAGCCTCCTGAGTAGCTAGGATGACAGGCGTGAGCCACCAGCACCCGGCTTCCATGAGACTTAGCTCTAACCACCACAAAGCCAGAAGTGGAGCTGTGGCTCAAGTGGTAGAGTACCAGACTTGAGCATAATCTAAGGGACAATACCCAGGCCTCAAGACTGCTACACACATGCACACAAAGGTGTCTTTATCAATGATATTCTACTTCCTTTGCGTTCCTTCCCCCTGATGGAGGGTTGAGCCCCTGCCTTGCTCTTAGCGCTGTGTCCCGGGCACTGCATGCCTCCTCCGCTCTGGGGCCAGGCGGCAGAGGTGGCGCCTGGCGCCTGCAGGACAGACCGCGGTCTGGTCTGCGAGACGGACGAGGAGCAGCTGCTGCAGCCGTCCCATGCCGCAGACCGAGGCCCGTGGCGCCCTCCACGCACAGAGCGCAGCCGACAGCCCTGGCCACATCAAGGACAGGCCAGAGCCCGCAGCCCCCAACCAGCCACGCCAGAGGCCGGGCCCCACGCAGCGCGGAGTCTGGGGCCTTGTGCTGCCCACTTGGGGTCTGCAGCCGTGTGCAAGACCAGGGTGTGGGGCTCGTGTGGACACCCGAGAGACCAGTAGACCACAGCCCCAGACATTGCGGTGGAAAGCGGCCTGAGTGGAGCGGAAGCCAGCCCCACACAGCTCTGCGGGGCCTGGGATGGCCTCTCCTACCCTGGCCTCACCCCGGCCTGTCCAGCCCAACTGAGCCCATAACAGCCTCACCCCACCTGTGCAGCCCTGGCTGCTTGGCGGCCTGCTCTCAGTGGGCAGCGTAGGGCCCTGGGCCTCGCACCCACCCGTCTGGAGGGCATTTGTGGCACTGGTGGCACTGCTGTGGTGGCGTGGGGAACAGTGTGCTCACGTTCTCTGAGGTGGGGACCCTGGGTCCCCCAGCCCTTGGCTGTAGCCCTGTGGAAGCTGGTCGGGGCCCCATGGTCCTGGAAAACAATAAAATACCTGAGCCTCTGGGAACCCCAAGGCCAGTCACAGACCAGAGGTGGCGTTTCTGCGCTGCCCAGCACCCCCTGCAACCCACTGGACCCTTGACCCCGTCGCCCCCGGTTGGGAGCAGATTGGCGGTCCCTGGGAAGTGAAGGGCTCAGTCAGTGCCCTGGTCAAGATGCAGGGGACTGCCTGTGGGGGGCTGGCACTCCACAAGGCGGCAGATGCCACAGTGGAGACGTGGGGGTGGGCACAGGGTGAGGAGCCCAGGCGGGGACCCCTCTGGGAAGGCAGGGAGTCCAGGCCTGCCTGGGAGCCTCGCGCCAGCTCCTGGCTTTCTGGTGTGGCAGCAGTGCCCCCTGGTGGCCATGTCCGGTATGTCCGTCCTCACCGGCTGGCAGTAGAGGTGAGCACCTTGGTGAGGAGCGACTTGGGGTGCTCCTGAGGGCCAGGGGCGCCATCCGCACTCAGCACACGGCACCTCGGGGCTGTGCTGACAGCTTCCCAGACACGGCCACATGGCTCTCCTCGGGCCTCCTCGCTTCCCATCCGAGATCGGGCTCCGTTCACAGGAGGAGCCGGCTCTGGGAGGGGGAGCAGACAAGGCGTGGGTCCCCGGCATGAATCTCGGCTTGTTTACAGCTGCCCGGGCAGTCTCCAGCAAACCATCACTGACCACTGAGACGGGGATGTGGCAGACACTCGTGGAGGGTGGGCGGCCCTGCCCGGGCAGCACAGGGCTGCTGGGCCCTGGCTGCAGAGCGATCGCATACTGGACACCTGAGCACCAGGGGCAGAGCTGGCTGCAGCAGCGCCCAAGGCCCCTGCGGGCATCACAGACCGGACCAACCACAGCCACCCTCCTGGCCAGCTGGAGGGAGGCCCCGCCCCTCCCTCCCTTGACACAGGTGGGGGGCAGCCCAGGGCGGAGGGGAGACCCGCTGTGGTTTAGATCTCAGCTCTCTCGCTACTGTGTGGCCCCAGGGCCTTGACTACCAAATCCAGGCACAAGTGATGGCAGAGTGTGAGTAGGCACTTATGAGTCTGTTGGAGCCTGTAGTGTCTTCCATGGGAATGCACCGCACACCTACAGCTCAGCGCCATGGGCGGGGCACAGGACAGCTCACAGAGCAGGTTCCCAGAGACAGGGCAGAAAGTGAGCCAGCAGTGACCCTGCGGGGGGGGGGGGGGGGAGGGGGGGGGGGGGGGGCGGGGCAAGGGAAGGGGCGTCGCCCACTTACCCCTTAGAACTGCACAGAAGACAGGAAAAGGCATGCCCGCTTTGACCACTGTGCATTTGTGGTTTGGTCCAGGGCTGGGGCCGGGGAGTCACGTTCAGGCCTCTGACCTGAAGGGCAGAGCCTAAGGTGTGGCCAGGCTGGTGGCCCGCAGTGCACAGGACTGGGCACCCAGCCTCAGCTGTGTGTGCGTGCGCGCGCATACCTGTCCCGGGCTTGAACTCAGGGCCTGGGTACATTCCCTAAGCTTTTATGCGCAAGGATAGCACTCTACCGCTTGGGCTGCAGCTCCATTCCAGACTATTTCCAGTGACTAACTGAAGAGTCTCACAGATTTTCCTGCCCAGGCTGGCTTTGAACTGCCATCTTGAACTTCTGAGTCACTAGGATCATGGGTGTGAGCCGCTGGCACTTGGCTGGGACGAGTATTTTTGGCCAATGGTGCAGCTGTGGTTTTGCCTGGGTCACTACATGAGCAGACAGGCCGCACGCCCGCCCTCCCTCCCTCCCAGGACACGGCGTGCACACAGCATGCACGCAGCACGCAGGCATGCAGGGTTGATTGGGGCGTCTGTATTTCAGGCATGGATCTTTGGTTTTACTTGTACTGTTTTCCACAAGTATAAAAGCGACGAGCTCCTGAGCATGTCTACGGACTACCCTGCTTCTCTCCCGAGGCTGGCAGCGCCCGCCGCATCCCAGGGGACGGTCACGTCAGCACCGGGTCCCCATGCCCCAGGCTCTTCTCTGCTCCTGCTGTCCCGTCACTCCACGCCCTCAACGCTGGCCTGTGCGCTGTGCCCAGGGCGCTGCTGTCAGTGGGCTCAGGCCCCCGGAGCCCAGAACAGAGATGGGGACTGGCACGCCTGCGCATGGCGGAGGGCATCCCTCAAGCTCCACTTTCCTAGAAGGACGGCAGGTCTGCCAGCCCCACACCCGAGGCGTGCGGGCTGCGGTGAGCCTGGCTCTGCTCTAGCTGCCGGGCTGCCCTCCAGGCCCTGTGGGCCTGTGTGGGCTGGCCGGCGACACAGTTAGGGCGCCGGAGCCCAGGCGCAGGCCCTGCAGGGCGGCGGCGGCCCGCTGGGCGGCGGCTGCGTGCCGGTACTGCAGCAGGGCCCTGCGCTGCTCACCCTGCCAGACCAGCCGCTGGGGCGCCGCCTGGAGCTCCCGCAGCGCCTGCTTCAGGTCCCTCACGCGGGCACCGGGAGGCAGGTTCCCCACGCACACGGTGGCAGCCGGGGGGCTGTCCTCCTCCTGCGGGGGGCCGCAGGCCGCTCCCAGAGCACCTGTGCCCGGCTGAGGCACATCGTGGGGTCTTCCAGCACTGCTCCGTGGGGCCGGGTGCTTGCTGCAGGGCCCCGGCAGGGGCTGGGCTTCAGCCTGAATGGAGACTTCCTTCCCCGCGCGCCTCTCCTGGTCCCGGAGGCTTCTAAGTACTGGGATTTTCCCCAGCATCTCACTGGTGATCTGAAAGAGCAAAACGCCCAGCTGTTCTCAAAGGGTCAGGGCCAGGCAGCGGCCACCCCGGCTCAGGGAGGCCCCACCTGAAGGCAGCCACGAACGGCCCGGAAAAACAGCCTTCTGTTTTCTGATACACACAGCCTCCTTGACTTGGGAGCTGCGGAGGCCAGTCCTGGCTCTGGGGCTGCTGCTCACACGGGGGTCCTGCTCCCAATGACTTGTTCTGGGGTGCGTGAGTCAGGTAATGCAGGAGACGAGTCCTGGAGGGCCACGTGAGCCACAGCCTGGCCGGGTGGAGCCCACGTCCTATGCAGGGTCCTCCCACTGACCAACAGCCACCTTGTTTTGTGACAGGGGGCACCAGCAAGGCCCAGGCTGAGTGCTTCACACACAGCAGGGCACCAGGTACGAGGAACAAGGCTGAGGGCGGCCGTGGGTGGAGAAGCTGGGGCAGGACGAGACCCCGCTCACACTGGCGACCTGGTCCCCCTTGTGAAAGCACGCACGTGGGCTCTGTGGTGGGTCAAGGATGCTGTCTGAGGTGGACTGTCGGGCGGGGGGGGGGGCGGCTGATCACATAGGGCCCCACGGAGCCAGGCAACAGCCGGCATTTCTGCCATCTGGAGTGGAGACCTCACCCGGCCACTCCACAGTGTCTGCAAGGTGCGCCAAGCTCCTGGCTGCATGGAGGTGGCCAGGCCACGGAGGATGCTGAGAGGAGCCGCTGGAGAGCACCCACCTTGGACCATGTGATTCCCACTGGCTTCGGGCGCACACAGCCCGTGGCGATGACCCGGGTGGGAGTGAGGATGTAATCCACGGAGAGGTCGTGGTCCTCAAGCAGGGACTCGGGGATGTCTGTGACCTGTGTAAACCCAAGTGGGTGACAGGACTGCAGGTGCTGGAGCCATGGCCATCCCACGGCCCCGCGGGACCACAAGGCCGGTGGGAGGAGCCCCCACGCCCGCTCTGCCCTCCCCCACTCCGCCCAGGCTCCATGGCCGCCCCAGCACGCCCCGCTGGGGAGACCCCCATCCCGCCCCTCACGCTCCCAGTGCTGGCCACACCTGCTGCAAGTACCTGGCAGTCGTGGACCACGGTGACCACGGGCGTGTCCTCGCACACGGCACCCATCGACACCATCATGGCGTACTCAAGATCGGCATAGCCTTCGCCCTTCCCAATCCTCCAGCCTAAGAGACCACGCCAGCCTCAGAGACGCTGCTGAGGGGTGGGACGCGGCCTTCCCAGTCCCCAGCCCCACCACGGCCCCTGAACACGGACTTGTGGGGGCTCAGCCTGGGAAAGCGCGAATGCCAGCTGTGCAGGGGTTGAAACATTTAAACATCACGGGAGAACCCAGCTCGCCTCACCGCAAACTGCAGCAAGACCGGCCCAGCCCCACTTAACTGCTTCCGGACTGTCATGGTGTGTCGGGGGTAGGGGGCTGGGGCCTCGGCTGGGCACAGCCCAGGGCCAGTGGCAGCGGGAGACTCGTGCGGGCCTCACCTTTCTCAGAGACGGCCACAGAGCCCACCACAAGGAGGTCCACGCGGACGCTGGAGTCTAAGCCGATGGGGACGCTGAAGTCCCGCACACCCTGTGGAGGGAGGCACCGAGCTCAAGGTCCCCCATGGGTCCTTCTCTTCCCTCCATCCTGAGGTCACACCAGGGACACACAGCCAGCACACAGGTTCCGGAAGCCTTGTGTGGCCAGAAGGAAGTGGTGACAGTCACAGCACGTTGAGTTTCCTAGTATTTAGGCTACTTCCCGCCAGGCAGCGGGGCAGGTCAGGGCAGACCCGGCTCAGCCAGTGCTCCTCAGCTGGAAGGGCCCGAGCTTCGGGCTCCTCACTGCCTCGCCTAGACAAGGGCCGGCGCTACAGGACGGATGCCCTGGAGGCTGCGCACAGAGTCCGGACACGCCACACACATCCTGCGTCTACCCAGCGGCCTCCTCTCTAAATGCCAGCAAGGCTGTCCACCTGCCAACTCCAGACACCAGCACACACACTGTGAGGAGGCCGTGTCCATGGGCGTGGCCCTGTGCTATTGGGGAGCACAAGTCACCTGTACGGGGGCCCAGAGTCCACGTTCCTTCTGGAGTCAGCACGTGGCATCGGGCTGAGGCCTGGCATAGAACTCCAGAGCTCAGAGCCCCAGGTACACACCATGAGCCTCATGTCCTCCCACAGTGCCCCAAGTACCACACCCACGAGCCTTGTGTCCTCCCACAGTGCCCCATGTTCCACACCCACGAGCCCCCTCTCCTCCTGTCTCGGGGACCACGGAGGGGCCAGGTGCCTGCTGGTTTCCAGAGGTTTGCATCTGGGAGCCATGGCCACAGCTAAGATTTTCTTTATATATATATATATATATGCACATATATTTGTATATGTATATTTATTTATATATGCACACATACGTGTATATGCCCTTATATATGTACACATGTATGTTACTGTACACACAAATACACACGTACATGTACACATGTATACATGCACACATGGAGAAAGACACATAGATACAGCCAACACAAGTTTCACTAGTTGTTGAATATGCCTTAAATGGAATGCTTGGAACAAAGTATGTTCAAGATGTATTTGTCTCTAAGCGTTTTTTACCACTCTCTTATCTCTTAAAACTTGTACATTTAGGGCTGGGATGTAGCTCAGTGGCAAAGCGCTTGCCTAGCTAAGCGCAACGTCCTGGGTTCGATCCCCAGTACCAAAAAAGAAAAGACAAAAAAAATACAGTTAAAAAAAAAAAAACCTAAACAAAAAACTTGTACATTTAGAGATTCCACTTGCACAATGCAGTACAAGGGATAGCACATCACTCAGAAATCTCAGGAAGTAAAGTTCATATGGTGTTTCCTTGCTCCCCACAGAATGCTTGCTCTTGTAGAAACTCTCAACAATCAAAGTAGCAGGAGAATGCCCTGGTAAAGATTAAAGTTATAAGGCTTTAAATGGCACCCTTCCTTGAGCTTTTTCCAGGGGCTGGATCCCACACATACATTGAACCAGCCCATGTGAAAAGTCTTACGTGAGAAGCGCTGACTGAGGTCTTGCTGATTTCCCTCATCCTCCCAACAGGGAGTGCATCCAGGATCCTGACCCCAAGGAGGGGGGTTGGGGGAGGGTAGCTAAGGTCACATCCAGGTGGATGATCCGAATTCTGTCCTGCAACCTAAGCCTCATGAAGCTGGTTCAACAGGCTGAGCGAAACAGCTCTTGACCCTCAGCCCACCTCCAGAATGAGAGGGACACCTTTGGTTCCAGCCACATGGGGATGCTGGGCCACCTCCTCCAGCACCTATTCAACCAGTTCCTCTGTCTCTGGTCGAGGAATCCACAGCTAAGATTTTCATCCCAGCTTTCCTTCTCTCACACTGGTTGAGCAGGTCACTTTCCTGGGTTGGGGTGCAGAGAGTAAAACTCGGGGCTTCCCAACTGCCAGGCAAGTGCTCTGCTACAGAATTACATCCCCAGCCATTGAAACAAGGTCTCTCTTAAGCCTCTCTTGGACAGCCTCAAATTCTTCATCTCCTGTCTCTGCCTCCTGAGTGCTGGGATTGTAGGCAGGCACCACCACACCTGGCCTCTTCTACTCCACTCCTGTTCTATGTTTTTTTTTGTCGGTCGTGGGGCTTGAACTCTGGGCCTGGGCGCTGTCCCTCAGCTCTTCAGCTCAAGGCGAGCGCTCTACCACTTGAGCTACAGCGCCACTTCCGGTTTTCTGGTGGTTTATTGGAGATAGGAGTCTCACGGTCTTTCCTGCCCGGGCTGGCTTTGAACCGCGATCCTCAGATCTCAGCCTCCTGAGTAGCTAGGATTACAGGCGTGAGCCACCAGCGCCCGGCTGTTCTATGTTTTTTATGCCTCATCATGTATGTTTTCATAAGCCACAGCAAGTTGTATTTTCAGGGTAAGACAAGAGTATGAGTACGTAATAAATGACTCATTCTTTATATCTTGGACTCGAGGGAAATTTCCTAAAAAGGAGTATCGTGAATTGCCTTATTTTTCATTCTCAGTAGATTAGGAATCAAATGACCCGAGTTTAAGAATTCTTTAAAAAGTCACCAGGTTTTATTTAACTATAAAATACACAGATTCTATGATCACACACAAGAGATTTACCAGATGGTGACACCTTCCCGTCTAACACATGTAACAGCCTGCAATCACTTAGAAGTGGAGAGGAAATCGCCCTCTGCAGGAGAGGAGCCAGGGTGGCCACAGGGAGAGCAGGATGCTGACGCTAGAGGGCACCAGGGTGAACTGCTTATACTAACGGGGAATTGCAATTTGCTTGGGGCAAATGATTGAGTTTCAGGAGCAGAGTTTGTCCACCTGGCTGCCAGGTATTTTAATGGGGGGGGGGGGCTGCTTGTAGCACTTACCTGAGAGGTGGCACATTTCCTCAGCACGGCTGTAGTGGCCCCAGGAGGTGGGGTGATCTTATTAAACAATCCAGTCCTCAGTCGTGGCGTAGGGACCAGCAATGTTTTTCCGCTCTTTGAAGAAACAGATAATAAATTTCAAGATTCAACTTTTACACAGCACTTTCTTGTATATACTTCTGCCATTTGGGAAAGGGAAGCAGCTGACTGTTCTCTGAACACCTGACCCAGCACACAGAGGCCTGGTTGGGGGGCGGAGGTATCCCCTGCCCCCACGTGGGGACGGGAACGGGGGCGCCCGCGGGGAAATGCTCTGACAGGACAGGCCCCTCACACAGGGGACCACACAGGACACAACTCCTGACTGCTCTCGGGGGAGCAGCAGAAGGACACGGACAAGAGGCCAGGCCCCCCTGGAGCCCCCACCGAGTCTCATGAGGCTGAACCTTGGGTCAGCAATGTCTCTCACAGGGGTGAACATAGCGGGGAGCTGTGTGAGGCCCCAGTGCGGAGTGCCGCAGCCCCGCCCCCACCTCCCCCACCCTCAGCTGGAGAGAACACAGCCACAGCTGCAAGAGGCTGACTTGCAAGGACCCTGAGCTTCCCCGACAGCCAGCCCTGGCCATCGTCAGCAGAGAGGTGTCCTGCCTCTGCCAAACATCAGCCATCGTATTGACTTCATGGTCGCATGTGAACCTCGCTCCTTTTACAACTCTGCATTTAAGTTATATGCCCATTCTGGTTTCATAGCTGCTAAAGAACTGAGCGTATCACACATTATGCTTAATTATAATAAATTAGTAATATTAAAATAGTTCTTCCTGAAACATATTTGATTTTTTTTTGCCTGTACTGGGGCTTGAATTCAGTGCCTACACACGTGCTACGCTTGCTTTGCTCATGGCTGGTGCTCTACTGCTTGAGCCTCCTGCCTGGACTTTTACTAGTTAATTACAGATGAAGTCTTAAAGACTTTTCTGCCTAGGTTGGCTTCAAACTGAGATCTTCCAGGTCTTAGCCTCCTGATTTACAGACATGAGCCAACAGTGCTTGGACATTTCTAAATGTATTCTAAAGAAAATCCAAGCAATTTTAAGTTGAAAATGGTGCTGTAGCTTAGATTTGGGGGACACAGTTATCAGACTCTGACGAGCCCCGTGCACTCAGGCGCTGCCCCATCAGAGGGAGGAGGGAGCGAGGCAGGCGCCCTTCCTCTTCTGATGGGCATGCCGGCACCGAGAGCCTCTGTGCCAGCACTGGGCAGCCCTCCATCTCTGTGCTGAGACATTCAGAAATGCGATGCTGGTCTGCTCTTGAGACCCGCCACAGGGCATGCCACTCATCTAAGTATAGACTGCTCCCACTTACCAGCCCCGAGTGAGTACCCTGGAGGTCAGGGCAGCGTGGGAAGTGGGGTTACCTGAAGTGCCAGAAGCCGAGCGCCCTCCAGTGGCTTATCGGGGTCCACTTTCACTTCCTGTGCCCTGGCATAGGCGTCCAGGTCTTTGATGCTTTGGCAAGCCAGATAAGACCCCTAGTTAGGCAAACAGACAGAGCTGCACGTACATGGAGGACGAGGAAGCGAATGCTTTTCTGAGGGGCATCAGGGTTCACTTTAATGGTCCTGGCGGTTCTGAAGGGCGGCAGGCGTGGGAAGTGCTCTGCGGCTCGAGAAGCACCCTGTGTAAGGAGACATGCCAGATCATTCTACCCACGGTCGTGGGCTCCTGAGTGTATCGCTGAGTGCATGACTGAGCTGCCCTGCTTTTGCTTCTGTGGGCTCCTGAGTGTATCGCTGAGTGCATGACTGGGCTGCCCTGCTTTTGCTTCTGCAGTTCTGGGCCTTGAACTCAGAGCCTGTACCCACTAGGCAAACTCTCCACCTCTTGGGCCATGCCTCCAGCAGAGCACCCTGTTTACAAGCAATGTCATACAGGGACGTGGGCCGGCTGCTCCTCCGGCTCAGGACCATCAGATGGGCAGGGCAAGCCAGGCCCAAGCAGGACTCAAGGAGGCCTCTATGAAAGAGGACAGAAGGGAGCCAAGTTAGGAACAGTGTTTGCTGAAATAAAACATGCACTCCGGAAAAAGTACACGTCATGACTATAGAGTGAGGGTTTTCCACAAAACAGCCACATAGCAGCTGCCTACACAAATACAGCCCTCCCTCCCCGCTCAGGGCCTCCTCGTTCCCCACACCTGCTTCTCTGGGGTAATAAGCACAAAACCAACCACGAGCACAGTGAAACCCATGCAAAGAACAGTCATCAGGAGGCCAGCTCCGCTAAAGGGGCGGAGCTTAGTCCACATAGGGAGATGTCCAGTCTACCCGAGCATCGGGAAGCAGGGAGGGCCTTAAGCTATGACAGTGCGCGTGTGTACTCTCTGAAAATACACAGCCCAAAATGACAAACTGATGCTGCTTCAAGAAGATGGTCTTTCCTACTCATGCCACAATAAGTGGATGTCTCTGCTTGTTTTATATTCCAGACAGTGGTATGCTGAGACCCAGACATGGGTCTGTCTGTCCAGAGTGACTCCGTACCTTGAAGTTGGGGATCCTGTGATGGACAGGACGGGGAAAGTCAGCTAAATTCTGGGACTCCATGTAGTCCCAGATCCGTTCTCGGATGTCCTGCTTGGAGACCCCTGTGGCAAACAAGGGCTGTAACTTACAAGGGGAAAAAAAGGAATTCCACCATGCATTCGGGATGCAGAAATGACTCCATCAGGCCCTCCCCAGACCCTCAGCACAGGAACAGACCATAGCCGAGCCTCTCTACAATTGAATATTGGGACCCCATCTTTCCTAACTTAGGAAATGGCCACCTGGCCGGTCTGGACTGGCGGGACAAGTTCGTCATGCTTTTCTGCACTGCGTGCTGTCCCCCCCTGGGCACGGGCCAAAGCCTGCAGTATCCACTGATGGGCACTTGTTTGACTTCCAACCTGTGGTATGGTGTGTGCAGTCTCTCTGGTAAGCCTGTCTGTAGGTCTGGCAGCATGAGGCCTGGGCCCGAATCGTTCAGAAAGTGTGCAACAAGCCGCTGGTGGCCAGGCCTAAGGCCTGGGGGGGGGGGGCCGTAACAAATACTGGCCCTGGTCCCTGGCTGACAAATCACACCTGCACACTCAGGTGTGCTTCGGCAACATGCTGTGCCCGGCCTCGGCACCTCTTCTTCCTTCCTCCCCTTAGGTCTGGATGCGGCCTCTACCAGGGAGCTCCTGGTAGGCTCTGACAAAGGCCCTTCCTTTGGGAACCCGGAGGATCGTGTTAGGGCTTTCAGCAGAGGAAGATACGTTGGAGTCATGATTACGCTGTCATTACCCCATGGCTCTCACTGGTAATGCAGAAAGGCCCGGTGTATTCCCAGCACCGCCTGGGGCGCGCGGGGGGAGGAGGGAGGGGCCGCGGGGCGGGGGCGCGCGGGGCGGGGAGCGCGGGGCGGTGCGGAGCA